AAAATTTTTACTTGTATTGACTAGATGAAAAACTGATTAAAGTTTTGGATAGGTAGGTCCAGCGGTTATGGACTCTCAATAAGATTAAGTTAAAACAAATCCATTTGGCGGTCAAGAATATTCATTAGACATATTCAAATCAAATTATCAGATATTTTATAGAGATTTTAATAATTTGTACACATTTTGTGTAAATTTTTTGGGTTCCGTACCAAGATTTTTAATTACGGTACGGGAAGTTCCAGCAATTTGCCTTAAGGCACGATGCCATGCACCCCTCTAGTTTTATAAATAAATATAATATTGAATAATAGAACGAAAATGTAACAATTCATAAGATTTGCACGTAACACTGAAAGCAAGTTTTTCATAATGTCGTTATCAATAAACGTGTTCTGGTAAAAATTCATACGAAATATGAAAGAAAGTGTTGCCATTGTAGAAAAAATACTTTACCAAAATCAAATTCAACGTAGAAGGCTAGAATAGTAAAATATGTTATACTTGCATTACATCATTATGAAATAATGTAGATAAGTACTTTTTTTGAACAGTTGGACTATTTGGGCGCTTATGCAATGTATACGAACATCTGCTAAATAAACTTACTTTATATAAAGATCATATTTCAAATTGACTAATACACATATCTCCATGATGAATTTAATAGGAGCGAGTTAAAAGAATGACTAAGAAAAATAAATTAAATTGACGGCTCTGAGTAGATCAAAGACTAGGAAAAAAAACAGAAAATATTAATAGTTTCAAAATGTGATGATGGAAAATAATTGTGAGTATAAAATGAACCATCCAATTTACAAATGAGGAAAATAGATAAAAAATAAATTATATTCAAAGAAGGTAAAGTAGACTAAATGAGTAGTTTCGCCCCATATACCGTTTTGATAAAACTCATTGGTAATGGTATTAGTAGGTACACCTAACTACTAACTATCTGTTACTTACGTATGTCAGAAAAAAATAACTTCTAATTTTTGAAGTATTTGATCAATGGTATTAAGTAGCTGTAAAACAAAAATACAAAAATAACATCACCAAAAAAATCCCAAGTTTAAAGTTCTGGCAACATATTGTATTTTTTGTGTCGGCATCGATGCTTTACGACAGATCAGTTACACAGTAACGACTGCAATATTAGTTCTTCTCATTCTATTATTTCAACACTTAAAACTAAAAACTCTAATTATTTCTAAAATGTTCATTTTCAATTATCATTATGTTTAATTTTTGTTGTAATAAGTAGTTTTGTTGTGCTGAAGAAATGGAAATGCGCTTGTGTGTAATAGAAATAGAAAAAATTAGTTGAAAGTTAGATGTAAAAATTATTTTTTTCATGCTGGAGGATACAGTGGAACTTCACAGAATAATTAGAGTTATATGTACATAATGATAATATCGAAAGAAATATTAAAAAATAACGTATTAGAAATATCATATATTTGCATTCTTAATTTTATTTCTCTATCGAAATTCAATAAATATAATAATCTCGTTGGGCTACAATTTTTTAATACTTTAAATAACAAATAATTATTAAAAAAACTGTACAGTTGTAAAACGTAAGCTCAAAATTAAATAACTTTTTACACGATTAAATAAAATAGAACTATATAGCTTAATCAATTTGTTGAGTATCAATTATGCACAGAGTTTAATGAGTCAATTAATTTTATTTTACAACTCTCATCGGCAAGGTGATATCTAACTAGACAAATGCTTTTTTCATAATAGTACATACTTTTTCAAAGAGTACATAGAACTGGCAAGAATGCGGACAGCGTGTACTAACAGGAATAAATAGAAATTAGTATCAAGTTCGTGTAGTAAATATATTATTTCCTAGATACTCTATTATAGATATCATATGCAGTGTCTAGTATCTGTTACCATACGGAAGTGACATTATATTTTAATTATTTTGTGATATAGGTTCTCTGGAAAAACACACTTTGAAAGGATGCATTAATTTTGTTAATATAGTTATGTCAACTATGCTGACAATTCTCCGATAAAATAGACCGTAACATAGCGTTGTTATGGCAACGATTTAGGTATAGACCCTCAAATATTAAACACCAATGTTATTATAAGTGCATCTTGCTAATTTTTGTAGCTTTTAAGTGTAACACGCCTGATCGCACAACAATTATATAGAATTTTGGCAGTTTTTAGTACCAAGAAAAGAGCGTAAGATAGCAATGCCATAACAACGCTATGTTACGGTCTATTTTACAAGAGAATTGGCACCTATGTCATATTCACACCCGCATTTAAAGTAATCATGTGACTAACTTACATGCTTTTTAAAAATATGTTTATCTTGTTAAAATGATAGCTTATTCGTGATTTATTCCAACTACTTCAAACTCTGTAATATTAAGAGCGTTAACGAATATATTCAGGCCCCCAAAGTAATTTTAGTAATTATTAAAGTAATATAAAAAGTTCCACAAGGCTGCCAGACCTCTTAAACGCAGTCTAATTCAAAATACTTAATTATTCAATTTTTGCTAGAATTATTAATCCTATCAATTTAATAAATAAATTTTATAAAAAACTTCTTTGAATCGACTTATGTATAATTTATAAATACTGATGAAGTGCCTCGATGACAGTATCAGCTACTGTAATTAGTTAATTAGGTTTTTTAATTTCTGGAATTTGAATTCTCCATGTTTGGAAAATATTTTACATTATAACTTATAGTTTTTGTTATAGACAAGTTATGAATTTTATAATAATAAAAAAGAACATGCACCATCGATCTCGCTAATGGTTATATATCATTTATAAAGTATGTGGTTAGATTTAAATTTTGAGAATAATATTTCTATTGTACATCCCTCAAAATTAAACGGTATTCTTTAATCGGCTATATACTTAATTTGTTGTTTAGAATTAAATAAAATATTCTGAAGAAATCACTCATGAGCCACGATTTTATCTCAACAGAGCAAAGACAAGTCGTTTTAAACAAAATTAATGCATCATTCAACTAATAAATATTTCCTTATCCTCGTTAAAAAATAATCACTACATAATTTACAATCTTAATTATTCAGTTATGTAAAAATTAGCGCGACATTAGACATATAATTAAAAGTTATTTTTAAACTACTTAAAGTAACAATATGTGTCGTTGCATAGTTTCACGTATATAATTATTACAATACAATCACTATTATCAAACAATAAGAAACGTATTAATATAACAAGAATAAAATTATCATAATATCTAATGAAATAATTTATAACAGTCTACTATAGCTATAAGGTAATTAAATCAATTTTGTACTTGAAAAATTAATTATATATAAAATAAAATTCATGATGTGTTGGCAATGAAGACCTTTCTAAAATTAGATACGAATTGCGTATAAAACGAAACAGGTACGTAACATTCATAAAAATCCCTCAAACGATTCTTATTTAATAACATCAACGTGAGTAATTAACACTATCAACTACTTAAATATAAATAAATAGGTACAAAACATATGTAACAAAAACACATAAAATACGACACACGAGTAGAAAAAAACATCGCTTGAATATTATTTTGCATTTTGATAATTAATGTGAGATCAGATCATAGAATTGCACTTGTTTCTATATGAATTATTTCTTATCTAAATGTAACCTACAATGAAATGTATTCTAGACAATTATTTTTTGTAAATGTGTATATTGTGCGTTTTAATGACAAACAAAGTTCAAAACGCATGGTAATAAATATTGAATTGCAAAATTCTTAATAATAGCATATCAATTTCTATATTTCAAATCCAAGTACATTTTTACAAAACCATGCAATTCGCCATGAAATTTTCTCAGAGCAATACTATAACATAAAACAATGAATTTAACCAAAGCAATTAATTGAGGTAGCGTATAATCGGGTATTAATGAATTACTGTTCAAAAATATATATATTTTTTAACCATATGCTTAAGATTTACAAAAAAAAAAAAAAATTTTCATACCAAATAAAAAGTATTATATGGATTCTAAATTCACTGTCAATAAAAATAATCGATTATATGAATTCTAAACTCACTGTTAATAAAAATAATCGATTTGAAAAAAAATCATTTTGTATTGCACAGTGCGTCAAAAATTTACCAGAACTTCACCTCCTAATTATTTTATTCTCGCAATTTCGTCTCCCAGAGACTTTTAGAAAAAGAGTTCATATAAAAATTATTTGCAAAATTTCACAGCACTCTGACATTCAATGTATAAATCAGCGATGTTGTGTTTACTTATTGATCACAAATTGCCAACAAATCATGGATTTATCTAAAAGCGTCGATACTATTAAATATCATAAATAAAAAACTTATGTCATAACTTCTAAGACTAAGATAATTCACGCAACTGTGCTCTTCTTTACGTTTTAACATTTTCATTAAATTACGTGTGAGAAAAAGTCGACGTTTAATAAATTTCATTTTTGCGTCGATAAAGCGTTAGGAATTATTACAGATTCACAAATTGTCCCTTTCATCGCGGAGATTAAATTTAATATAATTATATTATAATTAATTTAGATTTCATTATATTTTACTTTAACGAAACACTAGGCGCGGGCTCACTTTTTTAATCACTGGTTCATGTTGTCCTCTCATATGAATAATTTGTTATTATATAGTCATTATTATATTCAAAATTGTCACTTCTGCTTTCAATGAGCATGAAATGAAATATACGCAATTGTTTATTTCACAATTTACAAAATCAGTCTATACATATTATATCTAATTATATTTATTATTTCTTTTTTTGCAATATCGCGATTTAAACTGTGAAAACAGAGGTATGAATAAATGCTTGTAATTTATAGTAATTGAATTTTCAAATATATCTATTTATTAAACGCTCTTAAACGCTTAAAGGTTGCGACATATATTTCCTTTTATTAAAAACATCATTTTGTGTTTGTTTTTGGTTCTTGCTTTTTCCTTTAGAACATATGTTGCTTAATATATTAATTTTTACAACTCGAGCGAGACTAATTAAACTATACAATCTACAAACACCGTAAAAATGTCACATAGAGCACTGGTATCAAAGTTTTATACACAAAAGTTTTAACGAGAGCCTTTTTATTTTGGTTTCGTGTCAGCAAACGGTCTCCAGGGCTGCGGCCCTGCGCATCGCTTGTCGCCTTCGAAACGCCTGGAACTCTTGTAGCATGGCTTGCACGCGCGCCTCGATCTCGTCGCATCTCATTGACGCCGTTGATACTGTCAATCGCGGCTTTCTGGCGGGTATCGGCTCACCAGTAGGAGTTGATGTAGCAGGTGTAGCCCGGTCAAATTCGTAATGACCGTCTACACTATCAGCTTTCACACCCGTGTGATCCATGCCGAGTCTCGAAGCCGCTAGTTCGAGCCACGGCGCAATAAAATTTGGCGGCGGAGGTGGCAACGGTGCAGGAGGCGGTGGTCGGTACGGTGGCAGCGGATGCAGTAAATGGTGCGAAGTCCCCGACGTGTTTTTGCTCCCAAAACCGCTACTACTCGATCTGCTATCCGGATCTATATGCAAAGGCATAGTTGATCTTTTCGGCCTCGGCATTGTGTTGTTTGTCACGCCTCTCGGAGGGGAGCTAGTAGCCAAGGGATGAACAGGTACAAAACCAGGCCGGAGTAATAATGCTTGTTGATGCATTGCCCTTAATGAAGGCAATTCCTGTGAATATCTCGCATGCACGGTTCTTAACTGCGCGCTTGCATCCGGTCTTACAGAGCTGATATCGCTAAAATACCAAGGAGATGTCCAAGCTGGCGGTTGCATCACATGAACTGAAGGTGATCTCTGCCTTGGTAGAAAACCGCCATCGTCGCTGCTGCTGATATCCAATTCACATTCTTCCATTTCGGATTCACCGTTGAGAACAAATTTGCCATCTGGAGTGCGCTGGATGCGGCTGAGATCCCGGGGTGACAGCCTCGATGTTGAGCCAAGTACACTGTCAGATGGCCAAACCCAATTCTTAATGGAACGCAAAAGACTTAAACCTGGTATTCTGCTTTTGTTATATCTGAATAAATAAACGTATACGTTGGACATTATTGAAATTGAACCAAAAATTAAAATTAATTGAACTGAGAATATACATATTATTATGAATTGGAAAATTGCTACTCCAAGAAGCGGTGTGAAAACTTTTATAAACCGGTTGATTTCAAGATAATATTTTTCTAGCTATTTTATTATGAATTATATTAAACTGCTAAAAATATATATACTCTATTCCTTTTTTGAAAAAAAGTTGTATATGTTCCTTGTATATTCTCAGTTATTATATTCATCAATGCAAATAAACCATCCAAAACAACATTCAAAGTATCAAAACATAAATGTAAGTTAATTCTTTAGTACTTATCATTCTTTGATACATGCTAAATTTTGAAACAAAAATAAATTACATAGGTACTAATATCATCGTTATTTGAGAAAACAGAAAAATAGTGCTAAAAATAAAACACGTCATTCTTTTCGCTTAACTAACAAGTGCCGTACACAAATAGTGAATTATAAAAAATTATAAAAACTAAAAGATGAAGAAAAATGCACTATTATCCATGCAATAATTTTTCACCTTTTGTCCTGAAGAGGTTTGAAGACAATTCCAAAGTTTGCGAAGTCAGAAGATTAAGACGGAAAGAAAATATAAACATTTAATGATCATGATTATAACAAAAAAAATATGAAGTCTAGATATAAATATCAAGTAACAAAAGTGATTGATGATATTGCTCGGATTTCCATAAATTATTACAAAGTATAGTCATATCAAATATCAAATATAGATGTTTATATAACATAATTAAAACTGCAGTTTAAGAAGTAATTTAATAAAAATCTGAGCAATAAACGTAAAAAACATGTTGTTTGTTAATATTTTTATATATTATATTGCATTGCTTGCGATCGTTAAAATATATTAGAATAGTTTCACACATAGAGGTAGTAAGTTAAATAAGTAGGTAGTTCAAGCGCGAAAAAAATGATTTAAATAACTTAAACACTTAGTTGTGTTTGAAATATTTCATGTATACCATATTTGAATATTCAAACCAAGCAACGTAATGTAGTTCACTGAAAATAGCAATATTAATATTTAAAGGTAGGGTTGCGATCTAAGATCCTAGACGAAAGGATTAGAGGCATTCACTAAAATCAAAAACCTATAAAAATTTCATTCATAGGAGCAGCTAATTAGGTTATATGAATAAATTCAAGCAAATGAGTTTTAATAAGTCTAACACAAGGGATCAGAAAGCACATAACGACTTGAAAATTCAATAATCATTTGAAAAGGAGTCGTAATATGCTTCCAACAATTAATAAAAGGGTTTCAACTCAAAAAAAAAACGCTAACCCTTACGGCTCTGGGTGTAACTTGTGCCAGGTATTATAAAAACACTCTCGTAATCTCTGTATGTATCGGAATCTTTCCTAGAGGAAAAAAATAAAAGTATGCTGATACATCTAATTTTATGTGAATGATATTTTTTCTATAATCGAAAATATTAGTAACCATAACTGATAATTACATTCACTTTATGATTTAAATTTATATCATAATTTGTAGAAAATGCTAATTCATTTTAAAGCTACTAAATTATTAAATATTAGATTTTACACATTTTAATTAACAACTCCGATACAGCGCTATGTTACGCTCCATGAATCATATAAATTGGTAGTAAAAACTGTCAAAATGCTATGTATTTGCTGTGCGATCAGGCATTATACATCTTTTTAGATGTATAATGCGTTTTTAGATGTATAAACGTGATGTTAGATAAAATCTAACATCACGTTTGTATTATCATGACACATCGGAAAGATGCAGCTATGATAACATTCTTTTTGTGATGTGTGTGTGCATTTTCTAAGTTAGGTTTTATATCTAAAACATCTGACTGCACAGAAAATACATAACATTTTGATAGTTTTTGTTACAAATTTATATGAAGAAGGAAGCATAACATAGCATTGCAATAACAATGTTATGTTACTGTCTATTTTATCAGACGTATTGGTTCCTTAATCGCCTAAATGATTTTACACATATTAAAATTCAAAGCATAATCCAAAATCCAAAATCCAAAATGTTAAATTGATAAGACATTATTTATTTTTCGGACATTTAAGGGTCTTTGTATTTTTAAAAACTGTTAAAAAAGTTAAATAATTAAAAAAAATTGTGAATAAGCATCGAATAAATATAATGCAACGGTGCAATATTCTAGATTTCTTTTCTCAGTATTATCAATACACACATACTTCAGCAAAAAGTCATTTTGCACATTGTATTGTATGCATATTCTATCAATATGTCATCATTAAAAAACTATTAGCATCGCCGCTATCAGAACATGAAATTATAAAAAATTTCCGCAAATATTAATCTTGAATAAAACAAATTAAGGGGCACAACTAGTGTGCAATTTTCAAAAAATCGAATTTTCAATTTTTCCATATTTCGATAGGTTATAACTTTAAAAATAACATGCCAAAATTTAAAATCAATATCTTGAATAGTTTTTGAGTCACAGCCATTTAAAGAGTATATATATATATAGTATATAGTATAACGATCATTTTATCTTTATTTTATCTCAAAAAACAAATGATCCGATCACTATCAAATTTTTTGCACATGTTCTAGATATAGTTCTCCGTAAAATGAACTATCGATATTTTGATCGGATCAAAAATCGAATTTTGGCAGTCCAAACACGACCAAAATTTTGGGTAAAATTCGACTTTTTTTTTAAAAAACGCCGTCATTTTGTCAATTTTTGATTTTTTTTCTTTATCGTAGTTCATTTTACAGACAATATTATCTAGTTTAACGAGATTTTTTTTTAATTTCATCCACGTAGAAGGCCGGAATCACTGCAGCAGTGAAGGGCCTTCTTTTTGTCGCGCCGTTGGAGATCGACGATAACTTAAAAAATATTTAATTTTTTTCTTCAAAAATTTTACTATGTATTTTTAAATCATGTATAAATATATTCCTAAAATTTTGAAATGATTGATAAAGTAGTTTTTTTAATATAAATTCCCAAAAATCATCTTTTTTTAGGCGGTTACACTAGTTGAGCCCCTTAAAGCTCCATATGAATCTTTGAATCTGCCAGTACGATTACACTGAAACTCGTCTACTTACTTTTTCAAAGGCACTTGGCCGCCTTGACCCGCGCAGGTGTTGGTGGGCAGACACGTGACTAGCGTCCCGCCAGCGGACGGGCCACTAATGACGCTACCGCCGTAGCCGTAGCCCGTAGCGGTCACGCCAAGCATGGCCTGGCCGTTGCGCGCGTCCGTTATGCGGCAGGCTACCATGTTGTACGCTGCAAACGAATGATCTCTGAACATTAACCGTTAGCACTGGCATAATAACGATAAAGGGGGGGAGGAATTTGGACAGGAACTGAATTTTATAAGTTATATATTTTTAACTAATTCTATACAACTATATAATAAATATTATTCTTTATTGGAGCTTCGATCTACATCTTATGAAAATTATTGCGTCCGCCTAAAAGTATATATTCCAAAAGTGGAAGAGAAAGATACTAAAATATATACTACCTGTTATCGAATATAAAGGATGAACTAAAAGCCAAAAAAACTTGACATATTTTTCTGTTAATTTATACATTGAAAATATATGAGAAAGGCGCAGTTTTTTATACCACTAAGTCTTCTTTTTATATTCTTCTGAGTCGGACTCAAAGATTATACAAAATTTTACAGTTTAACCCTCCGTCGGGCGCAGCCGATCTGACAGATACAGGGCCAGCATTTTAGCATGTTTCTCCATAATTTGATGTCATCGAGACCTCCATCGTTATTTTATGTCTCCTATTTTATGTCTACTATTTATGCGTCCATATTACATTGTTTTTGAACTTCGCATATTTCACTAGTAGCAATTTTGTTTAAAAAAACGCACTAAGCCAAATTCTATTTGACGTACAAAATGACAAAAAACACTAAGTTTTTACTATCCTAATTGTTTATATAGTCTTTATATAAACATTCCAACATAATCTGACAATTTTTTTAATATAATTAATTAAATTATTCCTTTCAGAAAAAGTAAGGTTTGTGCGTCTAGCAATTTGAGCGCATGTACAGATTTTCATATTTTGCTATATTATAAAAATAATATTGATCTAATATATATTTTATTTTTGTTTGCACATAATATACATATACAGCATTGTAAAGACGCAAATTAAATAAAAAGATATAAAACTATAAGCCTCCTGTCAATATACTTATAATCTGTATCTGTCAGATACACTGGAACTACGCCGCCCGAGGAGATTAAATGTGCAAAAGATAATAGAATTAATAATAAATTATCTACAAATAATCATTAATTAATCAGTCAAATTAATATTTTATACTGTAGCTTATCAAGTTGGAGTTTAACTTAGCTCAGAGACTTGCCTTAAGGCAGTACTACCCATTATTATTATTACTTTAGTTAAAGTGCTATGCATTTTAGTCTGTGATATAAGTCATTCTACACCAAAACTAAATACAAGTTATTACATGACAAAAATAAATAAAACTACAGTGCACGTCAACATACTATTTGACAACTGTTTCAGTGTATAGTGAAGTAAAATTCTAATTTTAAGTTTACAGAATGATCTCATTGCTATTATAAATGCACATTTTGATTGGTTTCATTTTTATGTTATAAATGAGAAATATTTATGTAATCATTCATACGACGAAATATTGACAAATTGAATTATTATATAAAAATAAATAAATAATAATTTATCGCATTTTCTAATACTGAAACCTGAAAGGAATTCTTTATAGAAATACCATAAATTTTTGTTAAAATGATATTTTCTACGCGAAACATTCCACGAACACGTAATATATATATATATATATATATATATATATATAATGATAACTACAAATAAGTACATACACCTAAACCAAAATTAATTAATTAGATCTATGTGAAGAGCTAAATGAATAAATACTGTTATATAAAATTACCAATCACCATAATGATGAAGTATTATAGTTACTAATATTTTTATAAATAGAAGTATTAGTCAGAAACTGAATCTTATAGTTTACTTTAATTATTTAATTGCTCACTAATTCTAAGCAATACAATAAAAAAATCAGTTGAGGATTGTGGATCAAGGGTTAAGTTAATAAAATAGCTGTGCGCACCTGTGTCTCTTAGCAAAGTTTAATTAGAGACAAACACAAGTGGATGTTACAGAATGGAAATAAAATATTAATGGAATTAATAAAAATAATGAATAAATGTGGAAAAATGAATGAATTGAACAAATAATGGCATTTAAATTTATTCTGCTGAGAATTAGTAGAAGCAACGTTTTCCACTCGATGCTGAATATTATATAAAGCTTTAAAAATGAAATAGAAGAAATAAGGTTATCTACAGATAAATAAAAACTTTTTCGTTTGAGCAAATATGTTGTTTCAAAGGAAAAAGTTATGCATAATAATCTAATAATATTTTCTACTGGCTATAATTCACTACAACTTATGAAAATAAATATAATTATATACACAATACGTTTGCAAATAATAAAACAAATGCTGAGACACAATTGAATGAATGAGATAAAAACAGAAGTGGTTTATAAAATAAATTTTTCATGCTAATTAAAATTCTTGAATACAGTTAGAAATTCTGGAATGAAAGTTATGACTGAATGGAAATGAAATGAAACTAAATTATGAACATATATTGAAAAATAATGATAATAAATTAAATTCAATTTTGAACATTCTATCGCATCCACATGTTTGTGTCTCGTTAACATTAATATCTGATCTTGGTATCTAAAGGGTAATGCGAATAAAATATAAGTTATATAAGCAGTTATACACAAATACTCGTTAAAAAATTATTTATAAACATTGAATGCTTTAAAACTCTCAAAGTTCAAGATTTGATTTGTACTATTTGAGTATAAGATGCGTTGTCATTCTTAAGTTATATTGAACACTTTTTTTATATGACCTCTAAAATAGCTTGAAAAGGACCTTAACTTTTACACCTTAACCTTTACACTGGCGATAAAAAAACAAAATAAAGAAAAGAATTTTATAAGAGATAAATTAAATTAATAGTTATTTCAACTCTGATGATGTATACTTCTGACAAAATTTCATACCATTGTTGTATCCAGTGCGAACTTTAAAAAAATTGTGCCCATAAAATATGTATTTCAAATAGAAGGTCTGATAGGTCTGATTATAATAAAATTTAACATAAATAACTAGCAAAACAAGATTTATAAAGTAATAAGAGTATATCATTTTTATAGTTTATTATGTTTAAAAATATATATTAAGATTTATGATGTAAGTGTTGTTGTTCAACTTAATAATTAAACTGCATCGCATAAATTAAATAATGAAGCTATTATGCTATAAAACCTTTTCTAAAATAAAATAATGGATCATTTTTGCCCCCTGGATGTCCTTTTTTACCATGCCTATGGGATAAAACTGATCAGGTAACCAATTTTTAAAATAACCAATAGTAACTAATATATAAAATTTTGTATTCGGATTGAAATTGCGGACAAAATTCATTCGCATTGAAGCTATAAAACCCCAAACTCTATATAGATTAATTGCTCAATGTAAATTGATCTTCGCGCCGTTTACTCTGTATACCAGATTGTGACCAAGTGGTCAAAAATACTATAACCAAAGTTGCATCGCAATGCGAGAAACAATTTTTAGTACAAATCAAATCAATCATGAACTTCAAACATCGAAAAAATCGTCCAACACCCGCAAAATTTTCTATAAACAGAGACACCGATGCAAACACAGCCGTCGAAATGGGAACTCCTCACCTTTTTCTTGCTTCCGCCTCTTGCGCTTGTTGCAGATTTTGACAGCGCATACAGACAGAATGATAGCCACTATGAAAAATAGAATTCCGCCCACGACACCTGCGGTGATGGCCTTGTGCTTCACCCGAGCTGGAACCGGGAATTTGACCTCGTCGCTGCTCTCGTAGCTTTTGGGAGAATTTGCTAGTACCCGGAAATAGTACGTTCGACCTCCGACCAGGTTCTTGACTATAATAAGAAATATTGATTAAGCTAGAAATATTGATTAAAGTTATATGTAAAGACTGCGAGCAGATTCACATAGATCTAATCTTTCGCAATAAGTGTCGTCCATGGACGACATCTACGTGTGACTAGTTCTGAGTCGGTGTTTGCTTTAAGATTTATCACTAAGAGTTAAACTATTTGTAATTCTAATTTTTATTGTAATTTTTAGTTTATTAGAAGAGCAAGCTTAAATTTTCAACATATTTTTTATTGACACTGATAGAAATATCATAAAATATTCAGTAGTTCTGTGGAAAACTCTCTCGTAATAACAGAGTCTAAACCCTCTCGCAGTGAAAGGGTTAAAAGCATACGTAAAACTATGTTTTAAGTGCTTAATCGCATAAAAAATATGTAGCTTTTTGTTCGTTACTACCAAATCATGCAAAGATATACTAGTAACATATCATTACCATAACATTTCTATTTTATTCGAGAATTGACCACGTAGACTTTGTATATGAAATAATTATATGAACTTCACATTTCAAAAGCTTGACATTAGAAACATTATAATTAATTATTTTTAAATTTAGTTTCCGTAACGATAAAATATTTCATTTAACTTTATGTTGAGCTGATTACTTTCAAAAATGACAAATTCACGCAAAGTTTGCTCACTCTATCCCCTCAGCACAATAAAGTTTAACGAGATGAGAGTAGTCGAAGTTGTGTACTAATAATAATGAGCATAGATAATACGTACCCAAATACGATGTCTCTTCTGGTCGAATTTGTCCTTTGTTCAAAGTTTTCCACTGAGCATCGGTACGATATTTGATGGTGTAAAACTGGATGAGATGTGCTCTCTCCAGAGGCACTTGCCAGGTTATCAGGAATCCGTTGCTAATTTCGGTTACAGTCAAATTTCGTGGAGGACCAGGTTTCGGACCTAATATTTAATCGATTAATGTTTCATTTGTTTATATTAAAAAAAAACAGGTAACCAATGTTAATGAAAGACTTTATGTGAATTTTATTGGAAACTAATGCATATGTTAAAATCATGGGATGATAAAAATGTTTAGGGTTTCCTTTTAACCATAATAATTATTTTCTACTATACAAACTACAAAGATTTAAGTACATATATTAGAACCTGTATTGAATTTAAAAAACTACTTATTAAAATAAAGATTATTGTAAACATGTATGCTATATTCTTCAAAAAAAAAACGTATACTTTTCTGTGCTTGTGAATTTAATGATACCACTTTTTTATCAAAAAAATTAGTTATTTTATTTAATTTTTATAGAGTATAAAAGCAATCAAAATTAAATAATTACGTATTTTACATTAGTACCTTCAAACACTCCTACAATTAATTCTATATACTCTGATACAGATACAAAAAACATCATTGTCAAAAGGCGTCCATTTTGTGGAGAAAGAAAATTAAATTGATCATACACAAAGTAATAACAAAGTCTATTAAACTATATAAAACTAAAATAAAAATATTGAAACTTTAAATTATATGAGTAAATAATAATATAAATTAATAAATAATAAAATAGGTGCAGGATGAAAGAACATGGAAGTGTTATTGATTAGGTTAGCTGCAAAGTAAAATAAAACGAATTAATTCAGTACCTGTTGGTCTAAAAATAGGTGGAAATATTGTAGCGCCAGTAGATTCAGTGGGATACATAACAAATCTGTAATCAACTATGTCTGGAAATAAAATTATAAAAAATGCAAAAATATTGAAATAAATCTTCTTCGACACCAAAAATTATAATACGGATGATCGTGCTTGATAATAGTGTATTTACAACAGTTGATGATTACAGTGAAGAAGATTTGGATAGCGTGCCAATTTCCAATGAAATCGTATGAAATTTGATCCAGATGTAGAAAGCTGAATTGTATTGCTATGGCGAATGTTCATCACAGGCTACTCAATTAATTCGATGGTTCATTATAATACAGGATTTGGGGAAAGGAATTATAAAATAAATATGGTTAAATTGATTCGATAGATACTCATATAAAGTCTTCTCAATTAATTGATCTAAATTAGTTAATTTAACCAAAAATTAATAAAACTATTTAATTGAACGTGTAATAAATAAAAAAATAAGTTGCTATGTATTAAGATTAAATTATTAAATTTTAATTGAAATAATTTAAATTTATTGTGATACTTTACACAATGTGTATATACTCCTTTTGTTGTAGTGTTATTTATTAGATACAATTCTAATATTTAAAATAATAAATTGAAATAAATAATTAAACTATACTTAAAAATAATAAAAATTTAACAAAAAAAAATTTTAAAATATTCAATAAACGATCAACACTGTCTTTACCAGAGTTCTGGTGACAAATTTTGAAGCGATTTAAGTAAGAGCAAGTTTAGTTTAATAAAACCAGCGACTTATATAATAAAAGGCAGTTTTATCTTTGATAAAAAAAAACAAACTCAAAATCTTGATTTAAAAAAATCTCAGCATCAAAATACAACCCCCGTCGCCTTACCTGCGTCATCCGGCGCTAACTGGAATATTTTCTCGTTTGGAGTGGGAGTTGGTTGGGGTAGTTTTGGAGCTCTACCAACATCTGATTAGTAGCGTCCAACATAAATTCGTATGTTATTAGATGAGGAAAATGTTAATTATTGTTAGTTATTAGTATTATCATGCAAATTATATGAATGGTTAGCATAGCTACGAGAAATGGAATAGAGAAATTATTACTATATCATATTATTTATGTTGAATTTAACTATGATACTGGTTAGGTGCGTCGTAAAATATTCATGGCTGTAAAGTTTAGTACATAGATGTATTTAGTTACAGAAATTGTCGTTCACATGCACTTAAATATACGAATGTGTGAGGTGTAATTGACCATCCACACAGTATGGAAAATGTTACATATTTTTGTTTTAAAATTCAAATAAAATTTTATTATTTCATTATAAATTGTTTAAACTTAGAAATGCAAATGATAGCAGAAAATCTCCTCTCAATAAACTTTCCTCATCGTACCCTTAATTATTATGATGGTCATATTTTTGAAATTCGATTAAGCTTAATTTAATGTACTTGGATTCAAATGATTACGGATAAAGTGGTAGGGTGAATTAAATTTTTAGTTATCAATTTTGAATATGTACAATTGACCATATTGATAATACAGCAAAAGCCTATTATAATATTGTGATATATACAATGAACTCAACGAAACATTTTTAATATTACAATCATAATGCTTATGCTAGTAAGCTCGATTCAACCGCAACTCGATTCAATAATTATATAAACTAAAATACATATATGGAATATAATTAAATCAAAACCCACAATGAAATACTTCGTTAACAATCCTCCGGATCGTAATTGAATACTAACGGGTGAAACATAATTAAATTGCGTTTTCCGCAAGAAAGCGGGTACTACATATGCTTATGTAACTTTTCAAGTAATCTCCACTTAATTTCTATATTTACTTAACTTTAGATCAGCTCTAAAATTACTGTGAGTAATTGCTGAATGTTAAATAAGACTTGCGTTATAACATAACATATAATGCTTTATGTATGACGTCATTAATTAACGCGTCTATGGAGAACTTTTGATGGAGATCGGATTATAGCATGGTGTGCAATATAAAGTTACCAAAATAATTTCGCTCGGATTATTAATTCATGCGGAAATGTATTATCTATGAAAAGCAGATAATCCTTAGGAAAAGTATCACGTAATAAAGTGTTACTGTAAAACGTAAGCTTCAGTTTAAAGTAATTACTTGCATTTTCATATTCTCGCAAAATTATAAAGATACGTATGGTAACTAATAACACTTTGACTAATTTTGAATATAGCCATGATTTTATATTGACCTTTAGAGGTAAGAACAATTGCACAATCTGAAATTCTATCAAAAATATCAGAGAAAATCTATGAAGCAATATTGAATTTATGATTATATAGGTGTCGGTTCTATAAACAAAATATATTACAATTTACCACTTCTCATAGGCGATTAATTTTGTAAACTGTTCAGTTTGACTATCAATTCTATTACTATGCAAAGTTTTATCAAAATCCCAGACGAGTAAGCCTGAGATTCTCCTTGTGAGGATATTTTTTACCATGTATATGAGAGTCGATAAATGTCATAGTGATTCGAATTATAATATGTCTATTTACAATATACATTACAGCTTAAACCACAATATCTGCTTCGTTATTCGATAAAAATAAATGTATAATATTATAGTTTTAAAATTTAATAAAAGTTATTACAACCGTGGTTACAAACTTGTGTTGCTTGGAAACACATCATTTTTTTTTTTTTTTTTTATTTATTTTACATGGCTGTGGATCTTGCGATCATTACGCCAGTTATAATGAAACACATCATATTAAACCTTATAGAAATGAAATTCGGTAACACAATATAACAAATGCAATTAATACATTTTCCGAATTAGATGAAAGATGGGGTTCAATAACATTATAACCATTGTATCAATAAAAATGAAACAATCACCAACAAAATTTTATCGATTAACTTAGAGCTGCACATAATATAATAGAATACCATAATAAAATTCTGTTACAATTACTACAATTATTTCAAACAGATAATTTGATATTAATGTTTAATATTATACATTTATCCAGCCTAAAAAAATCGTACCAGATTAACTAACTAAGATTTATTAATTATCAGTTATCTACTCAAGTCATGCAATATTCCTTATAAATTTAACAACTTACCGAGTGTGCGGATGGTCATAACTTTGCTAGACATGCCATCTCCCAGAGCATTTTTGCCCATAACTTGAAATTCATAAGTTGTTGAAGGTGATAAACCATTAAGAGTTGCTGATGTGCTTCCTGAAGGCGTCACTGGCATTGTAGTCCAATCGGATATTCCGGCTTCGCGATACCAAATTGTATAGTCCTGAGGAAAAAAAAAAAAAAAAATTATGATCTGCTTTAAAAACTTTCCACCGACTGGACGTAATTATTTTTGTAAAACAAATTAATTACCAAATCTATCGGCTTATATAAATAAGATCAATAATATGTGAGTTAGCCGCCCATAGAAGTAGTTGCAGCAGTTACGTAGTTCATGAAAAGTAACATACCAAAGTTATTCAGTTTCGATCATGTTATAATAATGATGAGATTGAGGCAAAAAGTTGTTTTATGAAATGCTGTCAGTTTTATAGCACTTAAATGGTTGCTTCTAATACATGCCTATCGACAAAAAAGCATAATAAAACATGATGGCACTAAGTGATTAGTGCCAAATGTCGCAAATAAAACATGAATTGAAATAAAAATTTCAGAATATGAAGTTCTCGTTTTAATAAAAATTATAATGATATTCAGACATTTTATTATTAATAAAAAACAATGTTTCATCGATATCCGTACCTGCTTATAATCTGGTCCACCGCTATACCCTGGCAACCAGCTCAATGTCACCGAAAATTCTGTAGCCGTCCCAGAGACATTATAAGGTGCATGGGGCTGCGTACCTTCCACCACAAGTTGGGTTGCTGTCACTATAGTAGCTACTTCGTTAGTAGCTACACATTGATAGAATCCAAAATCAGATCTTCGTAAACCCTCGATTGTGATATTTCCTCCGGAAGTTCTAACACGTGCTCTCTGAAGAGGTGCTCCATCACGCCTCTGCCATTGAATATTAGGCCGTTGAGTGCCTTCAGATTCTAAAGCATCGCAATGCATTTCAACCGATTCCCCGACTTTTCGTTGATATAGGGGTTCTGGTTCTAATGTGAATACTGGAGGCTTACGAACTAACACTTCCATAGGACCTAGTAATATAAAAGAGCAAAATAAATATTTCAGAAAGGAGAAATTCTCTAAATACATAAATACTACCAAATATAATATTCAGAAGATTAAGTGATTCTATATGATACTAGCAAACCCGACGAACTCCGTTTCGCCACCAGATGGTTTCGTGAGAAAGATAAAGAAATTCTTTGTTTGTTTTATATTTGAAAAGGAAAAATTTGATTTTATTATACAACAGTGATGAATTTATTTCGATTACAAAAATGAAGTGTTTTTTAGTTGAACTTCTCTAAGTAAATGAAAGTGAATCCGCAAATTATCCGTTTCATTGAAGTGCTCTTTGGTAAACCACATTTTTTGTTTTTTGGTCTGACGTTAACACAAACAAAGCGGATGGTTTTCCAACTCGTGAACAGGCAACGTATAACTGCCCATGTAAAGAACAATGATTTTCTGAATAATCTATTTGAAATTTATCCCGCAAACAATAAGCGACTGGCCTTGCGATTTGTTATTGCGAACGCCAGGCGAACTGGAAATTGCAATCGTTTGAAGTCAAACGGAAGACCAGTCGGAATTATTGGTATGTCACCAAATCGCCAGCAATTTTTGATTGAATGGTGAAATTCAGTTCGATGACATCATTATTTTTTGCGGCAAGAATTGCTCGTTGACTTAACCAAGCATATTTCTGATAATTCTCACTAATGTCATTACTCGAATATTTAATTAAGGTGCATGAAGTTCTAGCAATTTGCATTAGGGCACGATGCCATGCACCGCTGATTTTCTTAGCTATAAACCTTGCGGAGCCCGAGACCTTTCCAACGAATGCAAAATTATCGTAATCGGTTCGTGCGTTCTGGAGTTATTTCATCAGGAAGGAAAACCCGACTTATTTTTATATATATAGAAGATAATATGTTAACTCAGTACTCAGAGACTTGCGCTACATAGAAATAAGGAGAGCAACCACCAATATCATTAATCAGGAGAAAAGTATATTTAAGATAGAGCATAATTGCATTCTAGATCCTCCCTCCATGAAGGAATGGCAGGAGGATGAGGCAAAACAAAACCGGAGTTTGTGTTATACCCAGGCGGCATTGAGCTCCACATATCCAGGCCAAAAATGTAAGCCTGGGATATGCAGAAGTATTTCCTTCGCTATATATAAAAATCATTATATAGTATGTACCTAAGGGTTCATAAAGTAACGGTAAGTAAAGGGTTCATACAGATTATAAATTTATTTATATGGTCAAAAGAGACAAACTATTTCGTATATCACCTACTGCAAATCAAGTAAATTTACCACAATCAAACTTACCAGAAGACCCCTGCGTGCCCTGAGCATTGTACGGAGTGCAAGTGTACCTTCCTTGATGGTTCTGGTTGACTCTTGTGAATAATAGCGATCCATTGTTCATTATCACAATATCTTTCGTTTGGTAAGGCTCCAGCAAACGTTTGTCTTTTGTCCACGTAACGTACTGTAGAGGAGGATTCGCTTTTATGTAGCACTGCACTACGCCCGCGAGACGGAACGGGAGATACTGCACAGTTGGGGTGAACGTGACCTTAGCTGGATCTGGGAATGGAAATGTTCAAGTGATTAATTAGTGGTGGAACTAAAACCTTTGAAACAGTTTTAAATATAGAAATAGATCAAGAGGTTATAAAGAATGTGCATTTTCCTAATTAATAGGTAAATGATTAAAGCTTGGCAAAGAATATTTTGATACTTGTAACGTAATTTATTCTATATGATTCATTATATTGAACACTTTAAAATTAGCATAAAAATGTTTGAGTATCAACTGGTGGTAAAATTTAAAATGCTTAAAACATTCTAGTATAAAAAACAAATTAAATTAAAAAACTTTTTAAGTAATACGTTATTTAGTACTTGAAATATTCGTAATTAAATACTATAATTTATAATAATACATATATATTCACATTACATATATAATTTATTATATATACAAATATATATATACTAGCTCAACCGACAAACGTTGTTTTACTAAGTAATGTATATTCTAAACAATTTCTAGAGAATCAAAAATATTAATACTTTTAGTGTATAAGGATGTGTTGTTTGAATGCTATATACAATGAAGTATTATAAAAACAATAAACCCCATTAGTTTGTCTATATTTTTTGAATACAATCAAACTCGAAGATTTATACACTTTCTATAGAAAACATGGTATAATCCAATCCAAGTCTTACTTGGTCTTTCGACTTATTGTTTACGTTTCAAGTTTTCCAGATTATTTTTGGATTCTGGATTTTGTGTATATTGTAAATAATACTACTGAGCTTATACAAAATTTTCAAATTTTTGCGAGAAGAGATAGAATTAGTATTTTTTCTTTGACCTGGTTTTTGAAAAGTTTCAAGTAACATTTGATGAATTAAAGTAAATTAATATGTGGAGCTGGGCGAAGCACAAAAATCCAATTTGACTCTGAGCAAATATAAACAATATTGTGAAAACCATAACAATTATATCACAACAAATAACACATATCAAACGAACAATTATCTGACTACATTCAGTAAACTGCCAGCTACTTCATTATTGTAGAAATGTGCTTTTTTGATGTCTTTCAAAAATTTGTTATCTAGACCTTTTATCCTATAGGCGTAACAACTTGGAACAGCCAGGTGGCAAACAGGTTAAATATCTTATTTTCATTTTAAAGGTATTTTACAAAATTATTACATTTTTAATTAATGCTAAAAAGCTACCAACGGAAGAAAATACTTCTATTATGGATTTTCAAAGATTACCGTTTATCTCCCGATAGCAGGGCCCTCATGAAAATCAAGGTTATAGCTGGTTATACATTTATTTCCCTCTACTTTCAAATATAGTTGTTGAACGATGCTAAACTTTACTGATTTTGACACATAGGTGGTCGACCTTTTTAACCCCGGACCTTCATATATTTCTATCTATTCTTCGATAAATTCTAGGAAATTATAACTGGGAAAATGTTATTCGACAAAATGTCTATTTGATCGATACCCAATTTAGGTTCTGAATTTGAATAACATAAATAAAAATAATATAACTCAGAAAATGTTCTATAAATACCAATGAGTATATAATTATACAAATGAGATCTTTCAGAGCACTGTGTTTGAGAAAAATATACCAAAAAGTGCATTTTCATATTAACATTTCAAAAAAGTTGATAATTTGAGTCTCTAGTAACACTTGCGGCCCGTTTAATAAAGATTTTGTATATAAATAAAACTACAAACAAAACTACTTACTACAATTTAATCATAATTAAATAATATTCACGTAAAACATCCTATTAAACGTAATTGAACATTATCTGTCAAAAACGTTTGACATTTGACTTGTTAGCCACCGCCCATTGTTTTATTCAAATTACGCTTCTACAAAAAAAATTCAAATTAAAAATGTAAAGTTTCTACGCGATTTTAAAATAATATCTCATCTTTCCGACCTTCTCTGGATTGGTATGAATTTTTCAAGACTAAGACTGGTCAAATCGGTTTAGCCGTTTTCGAGTTTTGCCGAATCATTTGATCGAGCGATCCACTTTTATATATATATATATATATATATATATATATATATATATATATATATCTGCAATCTAGTTTTTAAGACCCATTTGTTTACTTACATTCCACATTCAGGTAAGCAGATGCGCTTTGTGGCTCTCCAATGCCATTTGTTACTTCACATAAATACTGGCCGGAATCGTCTGCGCTGACCGGGTTTACGATCAGCGTCCCATCCCGTTTGACCGACACTCTCGTCTCGAGCGCCGCCACCTCGCGTACGGGCGATCCCTCGCGGAACCATCGCACGGTTACGTTTCCCGGAAGAGCTTTCGCTTCGCATGTGAACTGAGCTTTCTCACCTTCGAGCTTTGTCTGATTTGTCGGCGGTACCTGGAAGGAAATAAATACATTTAAATGTATAATTATTTATGGAAAATAATACTTAAGACATGAGTGGGTAGTTTTTCATATTTTAAATTGATTTTTTCAAAGTAAGGTTTGATTTGTTTTTATTTTATGTCCTAATAAACTAAATACGTACAAGTGTAGAAACATTTATGACTTCAGTAAGTATTGTTTCATATTTTAATCTGATTTTGTTATATTGTTTTTTTTTTATTTTATTTCACAATAATTAAAAATGATAATTTCTATAATATTTTATTGCCAAAGTTACAACATTTGATTAAACAATAAGTAACAATATATAAATAAATCAAACTATATTAAAATAAACTAAATACTTTCACACTGTCTATATAATATCATTGTTAATGTTGTGTATTTACCACTGTAAAACTAGCTGTAAGTGGAATTCTGTCTTAAGGCATTTAAGGCATCGTGCCTTAAGGCAAATTGCTGGAACTTCTCATATCAAAAATCATTATTTTTTTAAAAACGATTAACATTTTTGAAAAAATTTTACTTCGAAAAAATTAGATTTTTTAGAAACTATAAATTTGAAAGAAAAATACTTTTTTTTGAAAAAAAAAACTTTTTCTTCATTTTGACATATTTTGAAAATTCTGAACTTTTTTTCAAAGCAATCGTACTGCTTGAACTGCATAGTGACGAAATGTCAAAGCGCGCAAGTGCCTCGCGGCCGTCTAACGCATAAGCATTGGTACAGAACCCATAGAAATGTAAAAAAATGTACTTAATGTTAAAATCCCTAAAAAATATCTTATAATTTGATGTGCATATGTCTAATGATCATTTTTAACCGCCGAATGGCATTTTTTTTTACTTTTTTCATTAGATCTCCGAAACCGCTAGACCTGCCTTCATTAAAATTTGATCAATTCTTCATCTTGTCAATACAAGTAAACTGTTTTTTGAATTATTAAAATCGGACGCTCCGTTCTCTTAAAAACTGAGTTACCATTTTTAGCACTTTTTGCCTTTGCCAAAAACTAATCAGCACGTCTCCTTATCAATACGAATCGAATGTTTTTTGAATTATTCAAATCGCTTCATCCGTGTTCCCGAAATCGTCGACAAAAATTGGTATCCGCACACACACACACCCACATACATCCATTTTCTAAGGTATGCCAAAATATTCAGAAACCTTTGAAACGTAGAGATATATAAAAATTTTCATTTTCGTTTTTTTGCGATTACTATTACTTGCCCTATGGGAAGTTAATAAATAATTCATTGAATAAATAAATAAAATGAGCTAAAAATAAAATATTCTATTCTATCTATTCACATATATTTCTTTGTATTAGCGTTTTGATAATAATTATTTAGAATTCAATATGATTGATTCATATTCCATAAAGAATATTGCTCTTATTTTATTCCTCAGACTTTACGAAAATTAGCTACATTATAGATAAAGTGAGATTAGGATGTAATTATAAGGGAAATTAATTACGCAAACGTTAAAGTTATGGCAATGTAATAATTAATAATTTATATCCATGTTACAATGTAATATAAACTAAACTTATTAAATCCCCAAGCACAAAGGGCAACATTGTTTATATTTAGATACATAATAGTTATAATCCGTAACACTGTCCTAGGGCAGGTCCGTGAGATGAGGTAAATTCCAACACGATTAAGGAAGAAATAGTGTGAGAGATTTTCCATTGCCATTTCACACCGCAGTGCCTGAAATGGGCTATTTTGAATTGGAAACATATTTTTCATCTATATTTTCAAGTGAAAATCGATATCACTACTGCTATCCATATCAAGCTTTGGATATGGGTAGCAGTTGAGCTTTGGGACGCCATGGAACAACGACGATATTTAGATACTTTTTACTAATTGTACTTTCTTCATTTTTATCGAGGTTTTTGCGTTTTGTACTTTAGATTTAAGTTTACAAGAAGGTTTTCAGCGGTTTACTTCTTGTCTCAGATTCAGTTGTGAAAGATTATTCATTTGCATCATTTCACGGTTTCGTTTTGTATATTGGTCTCCATTCTATTCAATAGTGTGTCTATCCATGTGTTGATCTCTGAATTAAAATGATTTACATTTTCTATTATCTAGTTTCTCATTGATGTCTCCTGTAGTTTCTAAATGGCATAATGTTTTGCATAATCATAATAACAAACTAATAAAAACTATTTCATGCTAGTCTCATAATTGCCTGCTAGCCTTATCATAATCCATTTTAAACTAAACTTTACGAAATAGGAATAAAAGCACAATTTCCTATAATCACCGGCGTTCTCATTTGAGCACAATGTCGAACGAAAAGTGAATTTGTATAATCAAAGAAAACAGTAAAGCAGCAAACTCTAAACTGCTCCAACATAATACAAAACTTTATATAGTGAATTTATAGTGCGCGCACGCTGCGCCGCGTGTACCGAATGCATTATACCATTATATCACCTGTATTGTATTATTCGTCGTTTCCCTCGATATCTGTACTAATTAGTTTTTGTCTGGTACACAAATGCGATTCACTTCCCCAGGCATAAGTTTGTAATACCTTAATTTTCCTGTGTAATTGCATTGTCATTCGTGCATTATGCATATTACGATGAAACGAGTATTGAGCCCATATTCAACGAGTTTGAAGCTTTGTTGTATGAGTAATCGTGATAATTATTTATCAATTTATATGTTATTAGGCCGAAATATGCAAGGATTTAAGTGGAAGCCTTTGATTCGCTTTCGGGTTTTGCATTAATTTGATATGTATATAATTAACGTCGCTTATTGTAATAATATTATATGCGCCATTAATTATGCATTTGTATGCATAATAAGGTGTTCCTAATTAATCAGCAGTTTGGGTATAAACATGTGATAATTGATAAGTTATATAGATGTAACCTACTGAATGTAGATAATTAAATAAAAAAATAAAATATAGAAGAAAAGGATCAGATATTATAAATAGTGAATTCACTCAATTTTAATCTTTTCTTAAATAATCTCTTGTACGAGTCTTTTGTTTTAAGTCTTTCCTGAAACAATCGCATTTTTTTATAAATAAAATCACATTTTCATACATACGTGATCGTACCTAATGCTACGGTTATAAATTTAATCTTAAACAACGTTAAGCTGATTTTAATAACATTTTGCACATATTATCGTTTTTTGCATCATATATGGATTTACATTCAAGCATTAAATTTCTCTAAAATTACATCATTCCAAGAATCTAAAGATCAATGAATTTTCAGTTCTTGTCAATATGTCAATTATATACTTCATTGATCAAATTCTTGGGATGAAAATATCGTATATCATGGAATATTGCGATCGCAATAAAATACATATACATACATCTGAAATCTTATTCTATAAAATCAATTTTTTACTAATTATTACCCTATGAGTAAGTTATGTACTACATTAGAACAACGATAAAATTTTGGTTAATATATCAAATTTAGTAATGGTAATATATACCAATGCCTTCACATTATAGAAATTGGACCAATTAATTTAATAACTACAAAATTTTAAAGATAAATTTTATCAACTTAGAATTGATATAGGTAAGTAGTTCCCAAAGTCGGAGCCTTCTTATCATTTTTCACACGAGCCTCTGTACCCAAAAATCTGACTTTTCAAAGAGGCTAAATTCTGTTAATCAAAAGTCTAGATTTGTCAATAGCTAATTTCGCTTCATATGGATATCTTGAAAAACGACCATTAATTGTAATAAAAAGATACTTTATTAAGAGTAAAATTATTTATATGATTTTTGTAGTAAATTCAAACTGCTTCAATATTTCTTCAAATATTAAGTCTCCATGAGCCGAATGTAAAATTAAAAAAAAAACTTCGAAAAACAGAAATTATAAGCCGTATAATAAAAAACAAAATGTATGATGTAAATATAATGAAAAGCAAAAAATTATGTTAAAACAATTTGTTTGGTATTTACAAATTAGGTGATGTTAGTCACAGTGACCCATAAGTGTTCGCACTTCTGTGTATAAAAATGTTATTTCAGGGTGAAAAGCCTAGTAAGGTCATAATAATTGATATTGGTTGTCTTGACAATATTATAAAGTTAAGATTTATGCGTCGTCTTTTAAAAAAATCTCAATTATTAGATAAAAAATGGTCGAAAAATATGTAGTGTGAACCAAAAGTTACGCTCTCCCATGGAGGGTTAATTAACTCAGGGTCCATCCTGTACTTGTAATCCAAGCAATAACGATTATATAATTAAGTAGGTATGTATTATTAACGTAACAAAAATTCAATCTAGATCTATCTTAGAGCAAGTGGGTACATGAATATTTATAACTAACCATTATAACAGCACCACCGGCTATGATGACCCGCGCCGTATGCGACACTTGACCTTCGCCATTCCGGGCGATACAAGTGTAGTCTCCAATGTCTTCGGACCGAATGTTGCTGATTCGCAATTCGGTTCCATCGTTAAATATTCCAACAGTTGCCGACGGTTCTACCGGATTGGCGTCCTTATACCACAGAATCTCCGGGGACGGTGTTCCCTCTGCTTGGCAGTTGAGAATGATCGCATCTCCTGGAAATAGAATAAATTTTGTGTGATAACATTATTTAATAATAATGGAGTAGGAATCGTCTAAAAATCATCTAACTCTCGCATTTATTTTAAAACATTTGTTTAAATATTGATAGTAATCTTTTTGTATTAAAAAAATATGTGGTTGTATAATGTACAATAATGTAAGATTACATTTTATTGCAAAAAATTTCTTGTGCTATATAATATCCAAACTATTTTATTATTTTAATTATGATCATCATTTATTTATTATCACAAATGTTTCGGCAATTACAAAGGCAATATGTTCTAAACCTAAATTCGAACATCCTCGCAATAAAGCTTGTCCAACTGTCAACCAATTGCATTGCGATTTTAGGTGAAACGCAGAAGCTTTCTATTAAATAAACAAATATTTGATCAATGAAATTTACGGCCAGGCATAAATTAAAAGGCCACATCAAAATAGTATGAACAAATCAAAATCAATCATTTACTTAGATAAATTTAATTATGTGAACTCACCGATGTTAACGTAGATTATCTCTTCGGGCGTGACACTGAACCTCGGTGGTGCATGGACGTCGAGGTGGAACCATGTGCCGTTCTTGTGAGAGTTCGGTGAACGATTGAGGAACACCACCTAAATTAAAATTGTACATAGTAATTAAGTAAAGCAAGTTAAATTCATAATTCTACGTCAATAGCATAAATCTAGTCTAGTCGAGATCAATTTTACGTATTGCCAACAATAATTGAAAAATTTTAAAATTAAAAATTAATATATATATATATATATATATATATATATATATATTTCAAATAAAAGAAAATGTGATAGGCAAATGAACTACACGTTTAATATATAGAGAAGAACTTTGATGTGGGTTTTCCCTTCTCGCACGTTTTCCGGTCGCATAATAAATTCATAACATTTCTTGTTCGGGTCAAAAATAGAATGGAAAGTTGAATAGCGAACGATAGTATCCCGTACAAAGTTCTTTTGCTACTTATATCAACTCAACTCCCGGTGGATAAAATGTCACGTTGATATCTGTCACAGGACAGATCACAGACCGAAGAAAAAGATCTATTCACTTGGCCGAACACCGCTATCACTTTCGTATCATTTACTACACTTGGAAAATTTTTGAATATATATGAATAGAAAAACAAGGTTAGTCTGAAGAGTGATAGTATTACGAAATAAGTTTTACACGTTGGTAAGATCAACTCAATTTCAATTATATTATCACTTGAGACGTAAAATCATACATGGTCCAAATATTATATAAATCTATCAACACAAAAATCAAAAATATAAACGTTTATCAGCTTACAATAACAAACAACTATAGGTATAAGACATTAAAACTAAAAAAAATCAAATCTTCATTGCCTGGTTTAATAAAAAAATTGTAATGAACTAAACCGTAACTGTTATGATTTGTTGCAAAATGCATAATAAACTAAAAATTATGGTTTAGACTTTAGAGAATCATGAATTTAATGCATTCAGAAATCCATAGGCAGATTCTTATGAAAAATGCGTTAAATCAGATAATTAATTGACCGTTATACAGGTGCAGAATAAAAATGAATTTACTAACCAAGAACTGCAAAATTTGAGTAGCCTTATATCTGTAGAGAATCAATTTTCCAAACTGGCAATAACTAAAACTTGGTCAGAATTCTCAAAAATTTGAACTTTTAAACGTAAATAATTAGTGTTAAATTCTTAAATTTACTAATCTATTGATCTATAATTTGCTAAATAAATTTTTTGCTCGTAAAGGTGTTACAATAAGACCCAAACACGGGGTAAGTTGTAACGCCGGACTTTTCTAGAAAATGATCAATTGTGAAATAATTAGTTATATATAGTATGGATTTATTTGTATTGGACTCGGCAGTGTATTCCTCTAAACTTATAGCATCTAATCATTTGTATTTTATAGAAATATACTGAGTGGATCTCAAGATATATTAATTAAAAAAATGAGTGCACGTAAGGTTCACACGCGATTGAAGTAAAACTTATTTGCTACTGTACAAAATGGTATTTAAGTAAAAATAAATACATCATATAACAATTTTGAATAATGTTTATCAGCAATATGGTAACACTCATCATGCACACATTTATTAATGTCAACCATTATACACATTTATATAATGATAAATTATAAATTGTATATTTATAATAGCATTAAAAATATGTATATATAAATATTAAAAACAATAATGTAAATAAAGTCATACTTCAAACATGACATGATTGGTTTGTCATTGTAATTAGCATTTAGAAATGAACCTTCATTAGAGAATTGAAATAATTGCCGATTAATAAATTTTATAATATTCATTCACACAGTGGATTATGTTAAACAACGCCTAAATAAATATTGTTTTCGCAACTTCACTCATCATGTAATTGTGTTTGAACATACATTCATTGACGGCTTGTATTTTTTTTACTTTTTCGCTGGCAATATAATCTCATTCTTTGAACAGCTGTAATATCTGTCTTGTCTAAAAAATATTTTCCATTTTAATAACTTCAAAGATTTATAAAAACTACGAATAATATAGATTTCTTATCAATAAACTTACTAATCATTAATCTTATTAATCAATATTTTCAAGAAACGAGGTAAAATATTCTTCTGATTCAGGTATTTTTCATTAAATCAAGATTTGTACTACGATGTAACTTTAAAATGTTTATACATCTATGACGATTTCCTTGTTGATATCGGAACGCATACAACATTGATGCCGGTACGCATACAACGACAGATCTCCATTCACATACACGACGACTAATCACAATCGACCCGTATTGAAATGATGTCATCGAAAGCGCATGACGTACAGTTCTGCCGTAATGGACTTCCGTTGCATTTGTACGGATTTACACCCTAGTCGCGCCTAAAAAAGTTTTACTTAAAAAAAACTTGTTACAACAAGCCCCTAGTTCCCCTACTCTATATGAATTGTGTTAAATATTGACTAATTCTTTTTGAATCTTTAAAACTGAAATAGTATTGTAATAGCCAATGATTTTATTGATCCACATTCTATTCCAAATTTATAATAAATTTCAATACCTATTTTGGCGAACGAATAAATACAAGTAATATGTATAACTAAATTATCGCTAATTAAATTATATGTATAACTGAATTATTTCAATAGACAATTGTACGATTAACCAAAAAGTTCTATTGTTTTCTCTCTGATCTCACCTTGCACTCGTACCATCCCTGGTCGCTCTCCTGGATGTTCGTGAGGTTGAGCGATGCCGCTCCGTAGTTGGAGTCGTGGGCGACCCGAGACACGCGTCCCTCATAACCTTCTCCGCTGTGTGTCGGATAGCTCTCGTACCAGATGTAGATCGGTATCTCCTGACCCTGTTGTTGCCATCGGGTGATTGTATTGTGTTGTGTTGGGTGAGTGTGTTTTTATTTTCGTTTTTTCGTTTTTCGTTTTTCGTTTTTCGTATGTGTTTGTGTTTCGATGATGACGGTTCGGAAAAGAAAAACACTATTAGTACATGGAGTAAATGAGTTATAACATTGGATATAGGAAACGGAAACTGGATGAGTAATGAGCTTTTGTTTGTGAACTTGCTTCTATGATTACAGTACGAAGTAATTTTTTTCTAAAAACTTGCACTATGATCAATTAATAGTAAATGAATTAATAAAACACATTAGAAATACGTATGTTATTCTGTCTGCTTATAAAGTCTTACGACATCGATTATATATTTTTTAAAATAATTAAAATTTAAGTTACTGTAAGTGATATTTATCATTTTGAAACAATAAATTCTGTATTTTACATTCTGTATTTTTTCTACAATTTTCCTTAGCAAATGATTGTATGTATTTCTATCTATTTTTAAGTAGATTTTATTCCATATCATTAAGAAATATTATTTTGTGTAATGTAATAGTACAAGTATGTACGGCTCAATTCTTAAACGTATCGATAGTTCATTTTACGAAGAACTATATATAGAACATGTAAAAAAATTTGATAGTGATTGGAACATTTGTTTTTGAGTAATCGCTGCAGCAAATTCGGTAAATGCTGTTTCGAGAAAAACGCTTTTAAATATTAAATGATCGGTATACTATATACTATATATATATATATATATATATATATATATATATATATATATATACTCTTTAAATGGCTGTGCCTCAAAAACTATTTAAGATATCGATTTAAAATTTTGGTATGTTATTTTTTAAGGTATAATCTATCGAAATATGGAAAAATTGAAAATTCGATTTTTTGAAAATTTCACACTAGTTGTGCCCCTCAACATAAGATAGAAAAACGCTTATATCTAATACATATGTATATTTAACTGGTACTAAGGATTCTTTCTACCTTCAAAATTTAATAAATTCAGCATGAATATAAAGTAATTCTTAACATGTCGAAAACTTAATAACTCAATTATCGAGATATTCAGTAATTTATGCCAAACCATTAAAATTAGCTACGGTCAAAACCAGTTAAAATTGTTAAAAATTCAAATATTGGTTTAAAAACATTTTTTTCAAACTCATCACTCATGTCTTATTAAAGGTTTCTTAAATTAGTCACTTTTATTCTCAAATGAAATATAAGAATTATTCAACAATTATAAATTGAAAAGTAAGTACATTTGCTCGAATTGATAAACTATTACAAACAAGACAAATTTTAAAAATAAGTGACCAATTCATGAAAAATATATGTCATAAAATATTGTAAAAATCATTATCATTTCAATGCTTATAATTTCATGCATTTGAAAACTTTCGTATTGTATATATATATAAATATATATATATATATATATATATATACATATTCAATATATAAAAATAGTCATGCATCGTCTTACTTAAATATATAGATCATATTATATCTATTGACTTGAATTATATGTTCGCATTTCTTTCTGTATTATAATAATTCTTTCTTATCTAACATATTATTTATAGATTTTGTATTAGCCTGTTAGAAAGTTGTGCAATATTGTGCTGGATAGTATATTGTGCACTTAGAAATTTCTATTAGTTGAATAGCTTTATGCGAAACATATTATTTTAGCAATGTATCAGCCTGATATAAGTACATTAAGCGTATATTGTCCACAAACATGCGATATATGTACTAGGAATCATGCACGAACAAACTCGCACGAGCAATAAATTGAGAATGAAAAATTACAAAATATAGAACTACGTATATAATTTTGGATCTAAATGGCAAATATACATAAAAAATAGAATGTAATTAAGAATATAAATATTGATTTATTCAAGAAGTTCGGCGTTGCTTCACATACCCTGTTCGAATTGATACACTATATAAGAAATAACACAAATATGAAAAATAATATTGAACAGCACACCTTTAAAAAAATTAATATTTGCATAACATTAATTATAAATACAGTAATCAGTGAAAATTCGAAAAAAATAAGTAAATTTAAAACGGTGTTTTAATAAAAAACATAATCAATTGATGTGTTCTTAAGGGGTATTCTAGCGTAAAGCGATGAATTTTAGGTCATTTTTAAAGTGTCGTAAAAGAAAGCAATGAATGTTTATACTATCCATTTTTTTACCACTTGTTTATTAATATTATTAAAATACAATACAAAAATTAAGAAATTAAAAAGTTGAAAATTATAAACTGGCAGCTGATGAAGTGGGTGGTCTCAAAAAATTGGCACCTTAGTCTTGATATGATTTCAGCCCTCCTAGCCATCGGAAATGCAAAAAATAAAAGGATTTTCAATCTACAATGATGTCGCAATCGCCTGAACTAGCGATGAGTAAAAAAAATTTTTTTTACAAGTTGGCGACTGCTTGAAAAAAAGTGTTTTTTACTGTTTTTTTGAGTTTCTCGATTTTTTTAAAAATAGTAAAAATTGGAATTTGGAAATAATCCTAGTTCGGGCTATAGATAGGTTACAAACAAGACTCTCTGAACATTTCAAGTAAATCGGTCGATTAAAACTCGAGAAAACTTGTCAAGAGTACTGAAAAAGTCTCTTCTGAGAAAAACGCATTTAAAGTTTTGCGTGAAGCCAAACCAGTATGGAGACCGAGTCAGTAAGATGCCTATATCTCCGAAAATAATACAAATTTTCAAAAACCTTCTCGTACCCATATTCTTAGATAATTAAACTTTGAAAATATGAAATAAAAAAAAAAGTTTTTTTTGAATTTCTACACTAGAATACCCCCTTAAATGTATCAAAAATTGTAGTCGAATGCTAATACATGTAAGTACATTTTATCACGGATTCCTTCATAGTTCAAATACCATAATAGTCTTAAACTTTAAAATATGGCAACGTCATTTACTTAAAGACTTCAATATTTTTTGCGGCGAGTTGTTCTGCATCAAATAGTTTAATAACTTTTTTTTGATCGTGGTAGAAACCAAAAGTTTTGTTCAGCGTTTTCAGTAACCTACTGATTCTGTTTTCCATCTAGATGATGGCATCCCGCGAACCGCCGGACACGAGTCGGTTCACGAGCGGACGCCATTTCCCCGGAAACAACGAACCCGGAAGCAAGATGCCCGGATGCGCTCGAAAACCGTCAGCGAGCGACCTCGGCAAAGGAGTTGATATATGATCGCTCGGCAGGGAATTGAAGCGTATGCTAAGGTTCTAGCAAATCCTATCAGGGATGGTCTAAGTAAGCGATTGGCTACCTATCGGCAGCAAAAAATACTTGCGTTGGGATGGTTTGATTGATCAATTTCTTACAAAGAAGGTCCAGTTTTAGTGAATTGTGTTTGAAATAATATAATACATTTAGCATGTTATGCGATCCATAGTCGGCAACTTTATCGAAAATCAGGAATCACAAACATTGACATCCAAATGCCAAGTAATATATTGTGAAGCATTAGAGAATCTTACACATCGTTTATAAAGTGTTGAGTTGCAAGAGATTATTTATCCAGTATGACACCCCAATAACGCGAAGTATACATATTTTGTCGAAATATTATCCAGATAGTCCAAAATAGCATTTTTCATCCATAAATGGAGCTCAATGAATTTAACCAATTTGGCCGAACAGGTAGGACAACAAATATTAACCCAAAAGCGAAGTAATATACGAGAAAGCTAAAAATAACTTATTGAAGAATTTCAATCACAATTAATATTTGGAATATTTCATAAAGTTCCAAGTCTTGTTTAAAAATCTTATTGCAGTTATTCTCATAAAATTCCCATTGATTTCCCTGATTGAAGAATAAGATGATGAATAGTAGAACCTGAACTATTTCATAAATAAAGTACAAAAACTAGTGGGGTTTATGGCATCGTACCTTAAAGCAAATTGCTGGGACTTTTCGTACCGTAACGAAATATTCGAGGAATTTCGGATGTTTTCAAATAGATTATCATAAATAAGTATTGTAACATTGTCTAATATTTATAAGAATTATATAAACTGAATTGCAAAGTTGAAATTATTTGTTTAAAGTATATTAGAACTATAGTCAGAATTAAAAATAAAATCTGAATTATTTTCGTTATACAAAAATATGTTTTTTGAAAAAAAAGTTAAACAATTTTTTTTCTAAATCAATTATTTTGTTAAGACAAGCAGAAAGTTCTTTGAATCATTTAAATCGGACGCTTAGTTCTCTCAAAAACTGCCATTTTTTACACATTTAGCTCCGTATCTTCGAAATGACTGCCAAAAACAAATAAACACTTCTCCCAATCATTACTATTTGACTGTTTTTTAGATCATTCAATTCGGATGCTCCGTTCTCTCAAAATCTCGATTTCTATTTTCTGCACTCTTTGCTCTTTATCTCCGGAACTGCTGAACCTGCCTTCGCCAAAAACTAATCAGCACATCTTCCTATCAATAGGAATCGAATGTTTTTTGAACCATTCAAATCGGTTGATCGGCTGATGAGGTATGCCAAAATGTTCAGAAACCTTCAAAACGTCGAGAAATGTAAAAATTTCCAATTTCGATTTTCGGCCCATTACAATAACTTACCCTACGGGAAGTTAATTAGAGGTAACATCTTTTCTACTATTTGGCATAGTAATAAAACATTTTTAGATAAATATACGGTGTTTTGAATAATTGTAAACCAATAAGAGTCAGTATATGAATATCAAAAAGTGCATATTTGTAAAAAAAATTATTACATAAGATTTTGTAATCATAATAATGTATGGCTTAAAAAAAGTAGTAAAAAGTTGGGAGTAGATCAATAAGTTTCGAAATAATTACCTTCTTTGATTTGTAATATGAATTTAACCATTGCATTTCTGCTTTCTAAATCTGACTCAATTATGTCAGAAAAATAAATTGGAACAGAATCAATAATGTTTGCAAATACATTTCAGTCT